TCATGGGGATCAGAGATACACAGGGCTGGGCCGGGGATTTAGCTCAGTGGTTCCAGCGTCTGTCTCGCAAGTGCAAGGACCCAAGTTCGATGCCTGGTATCAAAAAAAAAGAGAGAGAGATACACAGGGCTTTGGCTGGCCCTAAATATCTCAGTGTGAGTTAGGTGGGGACTTGACCCAGGAAAAGAGGAACTCAAGGACTCTGGGAGTGTGGAATGGGGACAAACTCCCTATTTGAGGAGCTTATAATGGCAGGACAGGTATCGGGAGGCCTCAGGCGGCTTCCAATGTCCTAGAAAAGCAAAGCTAAAAGGGTCCTTGGAAAACATCAAAACTAGTGGTTTAAAAAAAAAATTACTTTCAAAGCAACATAAGTGCTTGTTCAAGCAACATCAGGCAGGCCCAAAGTGTCCTCAGAACCTTTGACATCAGCATCAGGTCAGAGGCCCCTGCGATTGGCCAGGCCAGCAGGTGACTATACAGAGAGCGGACAACAGTTACCAGGAGGAAATCTTAGGGGCAGCTCTAGGCCACTGAATTTGGCCTAAGCTCCTGAGTTTCCAAGAGAAGTTAAAAATCAGTTTTTCTGTAGAAATATTTGAATGTTGGCTCAATTAAAAACAAAAATAAAAAAGCCACACAGCCTGCGAACCAAAAACCACACTGTAGGCCAAACCTACCTACTTAGCAGATAAGGAAAGAGGTTTTGGGGGACACACCTTACCCCAGGTCTCACAGTGGCTAGGAGGGTGAGCTGAACTGCTCAGGAGACTGAGGAGCGAGACAGGTCTGGGCAGAAGCCATGCTTGTTCTGTCCATCCAGGAGGGAGTGTGGATACACAGACAAGGAAGGCATGGATGAACATGTAAAAATAACATTTCTAACAACAAGTGACAGTTGCTGAGCAGTTTCTACATGCTGGGCCTTATGATGGGTTATCAAGATGCGAAAGGGCAGGAAATTAGGAGTATAGACTTTGCATTCAAATCTTGACCCTCACTTCCTGGCTTGGTGACCTCTGCCAATCACAACCTCTCTGTGCCTCTGCCTGTTCATCTATCTCATAGAGCTCTGAGGAGAATTAAATGGGTTAAAGTACATAAATCGCCTAGACCAGAGCCTGGTATCTGGCCAGCGCATGGTACTAGCTGTATTTACAACCACTGTCTTTTGACAGGCGGGGAAGCTGAGGGTCACAATGGGCATGCTCACAATCCGAAGAGCCTGTCTGACCCCAGAGCCCCAGCTTCTGCCTGGGCCTAAAATAAGTACTTTACCACCACCCCCTGCCACCCCTCACAGCCCCATGGTAGCCCTTACTTGTACCTCTATTCTGCAAATGAGAAAAGTGAAACACAAGCAAAGCAGCTAGCAGCCCCAGACAGTGGCTACTAAATGGAGCAGCAGGTTCACTGCAGCCTGTGCCCCCTAGCCTCTACCACCCTGCCTGCTGTCTGGTCACAGCAGCAGGCTGGGTCAAAAGTCTGGGGATGCAAGAATTCCCATGACAGACGGGCTGGCAGCCTGCCATCTGAGCAGGCAGGAATAGATGAAGGTCTCCTCCAGGCCAGCAACCCCAGACGTGCCCCAGGGCATGCAAGCATTGCCCTCCCAGGTCCTCCCTGCAATTTCTAGGGCTTGGCCCAGCTCTCTGGCCAGCCATTCTGAATGAATCATTCCCACAAACCCTCCTCAGGCTGCAGCTTGGGGTGGGGGAGACCTAAGAAGGGGCATGGGAGGGACAAACATCCCAGACCTTCTCTGGTATGGCCCCAAACAGGGAGGATGTTTGTCTACAGACATCAAGGGCCCTTGCAGACAGCAGGAAAAGGTGGCAAATAGGAAGACTGCGGGCTGCTGCTACCCAGGGAAACTTCCATGATGCCACATGACAAACGAGAGGCACCCAGGCCCAAGCTTTCAGAAGGGCATACTGTGATCACCAACCCTAGACCGTAAAGAAGCTGAATCTGACCCACCGCTCGTGCCACAAGTTCATGCACAGTGTTACATCGACAATACACTTGGATGGTCTGATGGATCCCAAGATGCTACCACACCCATGGGCTAATGGTCCATGCCCATTTCTCACTGTGGCACCCTGAAGGCAAAGACAGGGGGAGGTCTGTGTGTCCTGGTGCTTACAGTTGGGGCATTTATAACTTAGAATTGCTCAGCTCCAGTCTGAGGGTGGCACTTCTAGCAATAAGCAGAGACTTACTTGGGCCCACCATGTGGCCCATCATATGGCCTCATTCGGCCACCAGTGGAAGTCACCTTCAGAGGGAGCATGGGAGTCCAGGCTTCATTTTGGGGCCATGAGGTGGGCTTTGGGTTGCAGTGTAGGATACTCAGTAAGGGTCTCCTTTGCCTCCATGACCCCTTAACTATCAAGGGGACTCCGGGATGGCCGGAGGTGGGAAGATCTAAGCAGTGTCCACCTTCCCTTCAGGCCTCCTGGTGTGGTGTGAGGTCCCTGGTGTTTCCCTGCCATTCCTGCACCAGCTGGGATCTGGCTGGAGGAATGGAAGGGCACACACATCTCTGGTCACCACACCACAGGCTTTATCTGCTTCCCTCACTGACAGTCGCAGGGGTGTCCCTGGTGACACAAAGGACACCCCTCATTCTGTTAATGAGACACAAGTTAACGGGAACTAGAAAATAATTTACAACCAGCACTGCAAAGCCAGCGATGTCAAGGATTCCAACTGCTTGAGAGGAGAGTAGACTAAAGATTATTGGAAGCCTCCTACCCTGCTGGTGGGAGTGTAACATGATACAGACACTTTGGAAGTTTGCCAGTTCCTCAAAATGTGAAACAGAGTGACCATATGACCCAGCAATTCCACCCCAGGCATGTACCTAAAAGAATTGAAAACGCAGGTATGACTTACGCATAAATGTTCATAATAGTAATATTCATAATAGCCAAAAATACAACTCACATGTCCATCAACAGACAGATGAATAATGTGGTATATCCACATAATGAAGTATCATTCAGTCATAAAAAGTAATTAAGTACTAAAGAAAGAAAAGTAATGATGTACTGATAAATGCTACAAAGGGATAAACTTTGGAAGCACCATCCTGAATGGAAAACACCAATCACAGAAGGCCACACAGTGTATACTCCTATTCATAGGCAAATTCACAGAGACAGAAAGTAGTAGATTAGTAGTTGTGAGGGATCAGGGATGGAGGGGTTGGGATGTGACTGTTAATCAGTACAGTGTTTCTTTTTGGGATGGACAAAATGTTCTAAAATTAGACAATGATCATCGCACAACTCTGAATATCCTAAAACCCACTGAAGTGTATATTTTAAAAGGCCAAATTGTATGGTATGTGAATCATATCCCAATAAAGCTATTGTAAAAACTTATGAGGTTCTTTTTTTTTTTTTTTTGGTACCGGGGATCAAACTCAGGACCTTGTGCTCGTGAGGTAGGTGACAGAACCACTGAGCTAAATCCCTGGCCCTGACTTACGAGATTTTTGAAAACAGGGTGAAACAAAGTCATACACTAAACCAGGCGTGGTGGTGCATGCCTGTAATCCCAGCACTTGGGAGGCTGAGGCGGGGAGATCAGTTCAAGGCCAGCCTATACCACAGGATGAGACCCTGTCTCAAAAAAAAAAAAGAGACATAATAGTACAATTAGGGTTCAGGGGGGTAAAATGGTTCACCCAGTTTTGCAGTCATGGAGACACTAATGCTGGGGAGGGGCAATGACTTGCCAAGCTACTACTAGCTACTATTATCCCTAGTAGACCAGGGCATCACACCCAAGGGTGCCCAAATCCAGGAGCCTGACTGTCAGAACACCCTGCTGAAATCAAAGGAGTACAGGATGGGGGTTGGGGGAGAGGGCCACAGCCCAGCCCAGGAGACAGACATACAAGGGAGTTCATAAGTAGGGAAAAAGTCAGCCATCCTTGAGATTCAAAACAGAAAACACCCAATAGTTGCCAGGGACAGCCAGAGATGGCTTCCAGGTGGTGGTGCTGCCAGAGGTTTCTGAAGGATGAATAGGAGTTTGCCAGTCCTCTTGCTCAACATCCCTACAGGACTTGAAATCAGGAGGCCTGAAGGTGAATTTCAGTTCTGCAATTCTGTCATATTCTAGTTCTGAGTCCTAGGGCCACAAGCACGTGACCTCCCTGAGCCTCAGTTTCCCCATCTGTAGAACGGAAAGGGGGCAAAGTGACAGTCAGTGTCCTCCACTGATTGTACTGAAACCGCTTTCACTCACCTCAGAGAGGATGAGCCTTTGAGTGGGAGGGCCGGACCGTGACCTCTGTCCACATAAATGACTTTGCAGGTCAAGCCTGGCCAGCCTGGGTGACTATGTCCCCTTGCTTTGCGGCCAATTCCGGCTCCAGGCAGGAGGCACTTTCCGCCCGGCTCTCAGTGAGGGAGAGGTTACAGGAGATGGGATCCTCCGGCCAAACTCAGGCCGTCCTCTGCCCCTCCTCGGCTGTGATCTCCGAGTTCACCAGGGCTCCCCCCACCCCGTGCTCTCGGCGTCCACCTCCCCAGACTACGATTTCCGTCCCCCACACCTACACGTCTGCCACGCCTCGTAACTGCACGGCGGCGCTAAGTTAACTTCCACGCGCGCCGGCGGCCGCCCGGGGGTCCCCCGCGCCGGGGCGGGGCTGGGGGCTCCAAAGGCGATGACACGCCGGCCCCCACCCCAACACACACACAACACACACGCGTGAGCGCGCACACACGCTGAGCGTCTCCCTGGTCCCCGCGCACCGCGGAAAGCGCTCGGGGCTCCCGGCGGGAGCGGAGCCTCGGACCGCGCGCCCGCGCCGCCCGCTCCCGGCTCCCAACCTGGACCGCGGGAGCTCGCGGGGCCCGGAGGAACCACGGGGACCAAGGCTTCCCGCAGCCCCGAGGGCACCCGCCTGCGCATCGCGCCCGCGCCCCGAGGCCGCGCCTGCCGGTGTAGCTGAGGTCCCCTCGCCGCCCGGGGCCACCTACCGTGCCGAAGCCAGCGTGCCCAGCCATCCCGGCTCGCCAGCCCCGCCGGGGAGGGGGGCGCCCGCTCGGGGCAGGGCCGGCGCCGTGACGTCGCGGGGCGGGGCGAGACGCGGGGCGCCTTGCTTCCGCCCACCGCCACGCCCCCTTCGGCCCCCGCCCCGCCCGCCAGTTCCGGAACCTCGTGGTGCTCAGGGGCAAGTTTGGGACTGGCCTAGAAACCCGGAGATTCCAGTCCCACCGCCCTGGAAGTCCGGACCTGCAAGCTGGCTTGCTGTTAGGACGGGCTGCTCACCATCACTCCTTTCTGACAGCCCAGTTCGGTGACAGTGCAGTGCAGTGATCGCCAAAAAGCAGTCAAAGGGTATAAAACTTGACCCAGACGGTGATACTGTTTGTGCAAAAGAAAAAAGAGAAAAGGGCTTCGACGTGTATTCCCTGGTATCCGTGGTTCCATGGAAGGGGCGGTTTTACCCTGACATTCCCTACCTTCATCCTCATCCTGACATTTAGCAGTGTTTGAAGACAGTTGGTTTTTACAACTGGAGGGCCAAGGGGATGCTGGCTTCTAGGGAGTAGAACCCCGGGGACCTACAGTTCACAGGATGTCCTCCAACACTTACACACAAAGAACCAACCAGCCTGCAACGTCAACAATGCAGAGGTCAAGAAAGTGATAAACAGGAATGAAATAAAACTGCAGACTGGGAAGTCTCAGCTCTGTGTCTCTGTCTTCCATCTGCAAGGCGATAGACTTATCTGTGTGTTGTGTGCTTAGGCGGGGAATACAAAAGGAAAGCTGGGAGGAGGAGAAAGGGATCAGTCTTACTTCTTATGATGAACCTTTGTCCTTTTAGCTTCTTTTTAAAAAACTATGTGTGAATATTACCTTTTCAGAATAAATTTCTGTAACCGTTACAACTTCAACAGCAAACACGCACATGTGAAACCAAAGCACACAGTAAGCAGTTTGCCCATGGCCAGTAATTCATTCATGTGTCCAATAAATAGTCTGCCATGTGGAAATGAAATCCACTACCTCCATGGAGCTGGTATTACTGGTCTGGAAGCAATAAAACAATATTATTTAGTGTTTATTGAGTGCAATTATTACAGACTTTCTAGGGCTAATCAGATGGACAAATGTATTGAACACTGGGTGGGTGTTTTATATTGTCTCTTTGTGTAAAGAAATGGAGTTCAAAGGAAGAGGTTTGAAGGGGACTTCTGTTCCATAGCATTGTAGCAACAGCATTTGCTGAGGCTTATGCTAGGTGCCGAGTGGCACCAGGTAATTGAAGGACTAGAACCCGGTGTTCAAATGGGGATAGCTGGACCCTCCAACAAACTTTCACAGTAAAATGAGCCTGTGTAACTGTCCAAGCAGAAGCTCGAAGATAGGAGGCCTTCAGCCTGGGTGTGGGTGGACAAGAGCACCAATAACTCAAAACAGAGGTCTAAGAGCCAGCAGGAAGGAGGGGAATGTGGGGATCTGCATGAAGTACAGAGTGGACAGGATGTGGTGGAGGTGAGAGAAGAGATCAGAGGGACCTGCAGGGCCGGATACAGCGAGGATTCGTGGGCTGGGCAAGGAGTGCGGCTTTTTCTTGCAGGACAGAGAAAGAAGGTGTTCAGCAGGGAAAGGGTGTGGTTGGCTGTGTTTTGTGCAGAGAATGTGCTGGCTGCTTTGTGGAGGAGGAATAGTCAGGGAGACGGGTTTGGAAGTTGTTGAAATAATCCAAGAGAGGTTATGCAACTGGGACAAGGTCATAGAGGAAGTGTTCTGGTTCCAGAGATGTTTGGAAGACAAAATTGGCAGATCTCAGTGCAGGGCTAAGGAAGAGGACTAGAATGGTCCACTGGTTTCTAGATTGAGCCTTCTTCCCCCAGCATCCCAGCTCAGCAAACCTCTCTAGGTCTCAGTGTGACTGTCATCTCCTTGAGGAAGCCTGATTAAGTCTCATGTCATCCTGACAGATTGGACGCTGGACCATATAGCCTGGGCAATTTGATGTGACTTTGAAGGTAAATGAAAGAACTTTGTCTTGTCTGTATCCCCAGCTTGGGAACACCCAGAGTGGGGGCCTCCACTGTCCTCTCTGCACCCTACCTCCCCAGCGTCTAGACAAAGCCTGGCTCTTAGGAGGTCTTCAATCAATACTTCCTGAAAGCAGGAAGGATGGATGTAGCAGAAAACTCTTTTGATTGTAAAGCTCCTTCCAGCTCTGACATTCAAGTCGATGTGGGTGTCGTACCACTGAGTACACTTTATTCAGGTGCCTGCTATGAACTAAGCACCTGGGAAATATCATATTCAAGCTGATAATTTACTCTTTCCAACAACTTTCTGAGAGTTTATGATCTTTATTCCCATTTCACAGATGAGAAAACAGAGGCTCCATCAGGTAATTTGATGTGACCCTGGACAATAGCTAGTGACAGGCACAGCCGGAGCACAGACTTGGTCAGGTCTCTTTTCAGAGCCTTTTCCAGAATACTGGCTGCAGGAGGTGGCTCAGCTGTGAGAAGGAAGCCAGGAAGCCGAGGGAGACAAGTATGTGCCTTTCTCCTCCTTGGATGGATGTGGGATTACTATTCCCAGCCAGGTATTCAAGGACCCCCATGGCACTCTTTGATCCCGGGTGTCTGATCCAGGAAACTGGCTGTCATGGCAACGTGGCTCTAAACAAGATGCTCATCTCTTTAGAACCTCCCCAGGGCAGCCTGGAACCATGTCTTTCTCCTAAAACACAATTGCTGTGTGGCCATCAGCATCTGATGCTGGCATAAAAGTAGTCATCACTTCTGATTGCCTTGGGGGCGGTCCCTGTGCCCACCCCACATGCACAGATTGCTCATGTCTGAAAGAGTGGGTTGCTCGCTAGCACCATGGGTGAGAGATGATGTTCTGTAACCAAAATGCGTGTCTTCCCAAGATCTGCTACTCAAAGATTCAAGAGCTGGGATCTAACATTAAAACACCATGGGTCCCCAGCTTGCTCAGGCATGGAGCTCCATGGCCAGTGTTTAGGGTAGATTCCATGCAGACCCGACTCTGCCACTGAGAAGCCCCTGAGAAGGTGGGCACTGTGGCCACTCGTAAGTACAGTTCCACTGTTTACCTCACCAATACCTTTTTTTTTTTTTTTTTTAGTTGAGCACCACATGTTAAAACTGGAAGTTTCAGTTTCAAGATAAAAGTATGACTTACCTTCATGTGCTGAAATTCTGTTCCAGGTGCTGGGCAGCTCATGTTTCGAGGTCATGTTGAAACTAGGACCTGTGGCAGGAACATTAGGCTTACAGCTCCTAAGTTATGTGCACCACTGGCCTGTTTATGTGTAATTATTTCATTTGTTTCTTTTCATCTTTACTATTTGTGCTCATAATTTTATATTTTTTATTATGATGTGTTTTGTGTATTATAAATTTGTTAGCAAAATGATAAGTGAAAAATAATGACTTCGTTATTTCCTTTTGGGTTTTGTTTATTTTGGTAAGTGTCTCTATCTCATTTTGGCAATGCCAGTACGCCCATTTTTTCCTATAGTAGCATTTATGAGAAAATGAGAATATCTTTGAGCTGAAAGCAGTCCAGAAGATCTGGACTGTGAATGCAAACAAGTTTTAGGTCTAACTTAACTGGTGAGTTTCTAGTGTATTTTTCTTTTTATAGGACTCACCAGATTGTCACATTGAAAAGAAAACTGTTAGATCTAATTATGTCCAAAATAGTTCTTTTAATAAATATAAAATAAAAATTCTGAATAATTGGAAAGCAGTTGTGTTATATTTTAATGGATAGCACTTACCTCTTTGTTTCTTGGGTTATAAATTGGTGCATTTGCCATTAATAGGACCTTGCAGTTGAAGAAATGTGAAAGCCAAGTTCACATGGCTCCCAAGACTGGTTCCGCTCCACTTCTGGAGAATGTGAGAGCCACACTCACAGACCTGAGGAACTTAGGACAGGAATCTAAGTAGCATGACATTGGAATCAGGGAATCGTAGAAATTAGAGAAAAAGGAGAGACTCTCAGAGAATTGTGGAACTTCAGAGCCACAGAATTCCAGCTCGGGGATCATGGAGCTGGGAGAACACTTGTGCTGCTGTTTTCCAAAAGGGAAGAACAAGACACAGGAAATGGAAGCCATTTGCCCAACATTTTCCAGCTTTGAGAGGAAGAACAGAACTAGCACTTGCACCTCTTGATTCCCCCCGGGAATCCTAGTCCACAGACAATGCTGTCTTCTAGTCCAGAGGGTCCAGGTGGAGAGAAGCAGAGTCAGAAGAAGAGGAAGGGTGAACACATTGGAGAGTGAGACCCAAGGAAGGCTGGTGTGTGTGTGTGTGTGTGCGCGCGCGCTTCAGCTTTGAAGCTCAGAAAAACCACAGAGGGGCATGTTAGTGATAGGTCTTCCACTACCTCAGCAGCCAATATGTATAGTAGCTGCCCTCTTCCTATGGTGCCTTGCCCCCGCCCCTGTGTGACGTCATGCCAAGATGGTTGCTCCTGGTCTTGGTCTTCGGCACTTTTACCTGACAGTTAGGAGACCCCACTTTTCTTGCCAGCATCATCTCCTGCCATACTTAGCATCCCTTCCCAACCCCCACGTTTGGCTGCACAACCACAGAGCTACTGCTCCCACCTCAACATACCTTGCTGGGGTCCACCACAAGCTCGCTCAACCACCATGCCTTGATGGTGCTGTAGGGCTGGCTAGTACAGTTGGGCAGGTTGGGCACAGCACAAGGATGCCACATTCACCTTATAGACAGACTTCTAGCAATAATTTCTGGCAGAAAATTAGTAAAATGTCTTGAGGGAGAGACATGTTTTTATCATCTGTACAAGGGTGCCATATGGGATAGCAGGGACCCTGTTGTTTGCTCTGCCTAGAATATTATCTTTCCTGTTCTGCACCAAGTAAGCTCCTGCTCCATCCTTCAAGGGTTTCTTTCAGTATTCTCTCCTCCAGGAAGATATCCATAGCAACACCCTCCTCCCTCCCGCTTCCTGCATGGATTAATCGTTAACATCAGTCAGTGATAACCATTGATATGAGAGCCAATAATGCCTGGCTGGTATTTCCATAAGAGACGGTCTGGAACCTGGACCCACAATTAAGTAACACTGAGTAAGATACACAAAAGTAATGTTCTTTTCAATCTTCACTGATCAGATCATGGAGAGAATCAAATCTTAGTAGGAGCAAGCCTGTCTTTCACACTTTTCTCCAAAGCTTGCTGATCAGCTGCTTAGCCAAAGAGCAAGCAGGCTGCCCACTCGGATCCTCCAGCAGCCAGGGGTGTTGCCGAGAATTCAACACTCAGCCTTCTTTAAATTATACTTGATCTGTGTACATGACCACTTCCTGTCTATGGTATATGATACTAATTTTCCACTTTCTGAGTGTTATAAAGTCTTATTTACAAATCAATGCATTTAAGCATAAGACAGCGTGAGTGTATTTACATAAAAATGTAAAGTACACAGCCATTCAGGTGGTAGGCAGATAGGGCAGTCATGAGAGTGTGGCTTGAAGGATGGCAATTTGAAAGCAGAGATTCACTGAAGAGTGCAGGCTCTGGGGTCAGACTGCTTGGGTTTGAATCTAGATTTGCTAGCTGTGCGGCCTTGGGAGAGTCACTTCCCATCTCCGCTTCCATTTCTTCATATGTGAAAGGGGAATCATCGTAATACCAACTTCCTTGAGCAGTCTGAAAGATATGCTAGGGTAATGTATACAAAGGACTTGGCAGGGTTTGCTGGTTTGATTATTGTAACTATTAAGACCAAGGAAGTCACATTGACATGGAGACAGACCACCACAGGGACAGAGGATAAACAATCTTCACCTATGACTAACTAAAAGCATAATTTGCGTTTCCTTCTGAAGCAGTCAGACTTAAAAGCAGAGTTTACAAAGATCTGTAACTCTTTACTTGGGCCTACAGAGGCCCAGTAGGTCACTAAAAGCAGAGAAAGGCATGGCTTTCCTGTTGTATCCTTTATTACTCTAAAACTTTGGATATAGGCATGTTAATCACTTAGGAAAAGTTGGCAAAATCAGGCTTATTAGACCCAAATTTACCTAACCTACCTCACCCCCCTTCAAGATGGATGACACCAGGATAAGAGATTTAGGGGGACGCTCAGATACACTCAGAGGTCTCCATTACCCTAAACCTAGGGTCACCTTGATTCCAGCAGAACCCCGCATGACTAAGACCACCCCAATCATCTCATGGGAACCAAATTGGCCTTCAAGTCCTGAGGATTCCTCTGGAGTTATGAACCTGGACTGAGATAACCGGACCCCAGGTGGCCTCAGCACCCTATAAAACTGGTCTCTGTTCTTTTGCGAATGGGCCAGTCTGATTGTCCTCTTCAGTTTCTGAAATTGAAGCCCATTTCCTATCTTTTGTTGCTTTCCTTTGTTAGGGGGCTGGCTGAATCATTGTCAGAGCTGTGTTCCCCTTCATTTTCTCTTACCTTTTAATTGAAGCTTTTTCTTGCAAATTTGTGCTGAATGCCTCGGTTGGTTTTAATTTTCATCATCAAGGACCCACTCTAGCCCACGACAGCTTCCCAGCAAGGAAGAGGGACCTTGTGGCACACTTCTGTTCACAGTCAGGAGGCATTGTGGCTTTAGGAACTTTTATTTATGGGAAGGATGAGGGTGATGAGGCTGCACAGCGGGTGGGCAAGGGCATGAAGCAATGCATGGGCTCACTTGGGGGGCTCAGCGGCAAGCACGGGGAAGCAGCCCTCACGATGCCACTGCCTGTCATGCAGGCGACGCACAGACTGCATCTGGGGCTGGAAGGCGCCCCAATCGTTCCAGTGCCAGAAGTTGCCAGGCTCCAGGAGGTCCTGGTATCCACGGTAGCCAGGATACTGATAGCCGACCCAGCTGGGAGAAAAGGGAGAAGGACCGGGTAGAGTCAGCCAGCCCTGCTGCTGGACCTCCAACCCTGCCTGGACAGGAAGTCCTCCACCTGTCCCTGCAGGCTCCTGCCATCTCCTACCCCCCGGGGCCAGGCTCAGGTCACAGATTTCTCTGTCCCCGCTTTGCCCTGGCTTTGAAGACAAAGATTTCCTCTCTCTGATAGACCTCAGTTTCTTCTTCTAGCCAGCGGGCGTGGCCACAGTGACCTGTTTTTAAGAGTGTTTGGGGCTGGGGTATAGCTCTGTGGCAAAGCACTTGCCTAGCAGGCCCAACACCCTGGATTCCTTCCCCAGTACTGCCAAAGAGAAGAGGACTTTGGAGGCTGAATGGAAAAGTACACCCGGAGTGCTTACTAAGTGTGTGGTAGGAGGATGAACACATATCCCACTGAAAGAGTTGCTGTGGGGATCAGGGAGGAATGGGGTCAAATAAGTGAAGTAGGGTTGGGGCAAATAAGAGGGTTTTTGAAAATGGGTTCCTGCCTGCACGGTGGCACATGTCTGTGATGCCAGCTCTCTAGGAGGCTGAGGCAAAAGGATTGGAAGTTCAAGTCCAGCCTGGACAATGTAGTAACTTATTAAAACTGTGTCAGGCCGGGGATTTAGCTCAGTGGTTCTGGTGCCTGCCTTGAAAGTCCAAGGACCCGAGTTCGATCCCCAGTACCAAAAAAAAAAAAAGACTGTGTCAAAATAAAAAAACAGCCTGGTATGGTGGCTCACGCCTGTACTGCCAGCACTTGGGAGGCTGAGGCAGGAAGATCATTGCTATTTTGAGGCCGAGGCTACATTGTGAGTTCAAGGCCAGCCTAAACTGCTTAGTGAGACCCTGTCTCCAAAAAAAAGGGTAGGGTTATAGCTCAGTGCAAAGGCCTGGAGTCAATCTCCAGTGGCAAAAATAAAAATAAAAAAAGAAAGGAAAGAAAAAGAAAACTTTCCTTTGTGTATGAGGAGCTGTGTGTGGCCTTTGGGATGCGTGTTGCAGTTCCGATCCTAGCTCTGCCCTGGACCAGCTGGGAGAGTTAGGTAGATGAGTAGCCAACTGTCAGGTGACTGTGCAATGGGGATGCTAGGCACCTGCCTCTTCTGCTGTCTGAGACTCAGTAGCTGATCTTTCACAGTGGTTGGCACAGTGTTCTGTCCCTGGTAAGCACTCAAAACAGTCACTATGGGCAGTGGTTCACTCCTGACTTTTCACTCCCTCTGTTGGCAGCATCCTGCCAGGCCTATCACGGCCCCTGCTCACTCTGCCAAGCCTGGATTAACTTTCAGCCCCACAAACAGCTGGGCCCCAGACACATCCACCCTGCTGGCCTCCCCCAGCATGGAAGCCTTATGTGGCCATCTCTGGCTGGCATCCTCAGATGCTCTATCCCAGGGGAAGTAGCGTCCTTAAAGGCAGGGACTGCACCTTCTTTCTCTCTGGGTCCTACAGCATGCCTAGCACAGTGCCTGGCTGTCTGCCAAGGCTCAGTATACTTCCAGTGGCTTGGACGGTAGGGAGAGACAGGTTTCAGGGAAAGGGAGTGGAGAAAGTAAAAAGCCACACTCCAGAAGTGCTTTAGGAACTCAGAGGAAGTTCGAGGATGGTGGTGTAGAAGGCTAACTCAAGCCCAGGAGACTAGCAGTACCTGGCTGGCTGGAGACAGGAGGAAGGATAAAGTGACTCCCTTTGGCCACCCATCCTTTCTCTGTGTCCTCACAGATATGGGTCATGGGCTGTGTTTGGAAAGCTTCAAATCCTGGGCACTGGGAGAAGACGGGGCCCTTTTAGATGAGGGAGCCTCAATGCTGAGACAGAGAGGGGCCCAGCCTCCTCGTTGACAGCAGGAGGTGAAGGCCTCTCAGAAGCCACTCTGCTCCTTCTCCAGGTGCTCCAGATTTCTCTGCACATTCCTCTTCTCTAGACTCATGCGGACCTATCCATCCACATCACCTCTGACTCCTGACATGGGTCCTTCAGTCCCACCCTGGCTTAGCAGCAACCATTCTCCCCAGCAGCTGGCTTTTTAGAACCAATTGCCAGATTTGTTTACACTGATGCAGAATTCCTCAAGGTATGACTCTCTTCCCTGGAGGGATGAGTCTATGTTGGCAGAATACAGAGACCAGCGCTGGGCACCCTGGGGAGGAGCCCGGTCTTTCCTAGGAACCTGATTGATGGCACATCCTAGAAGGGCACAGCTGCCTGTGAGCTGTCTGTGTCCCAGGAAGGAGCTGGGGACCTGGCAGGAGGGATGCTTACCTTCCACTGGAGACCCTCACACTGCCCATGCAGTCACAGAAGCCATAGACCCAGAGGCTGGGCACGTCATCCTCCTGGATCGCCATGGTGTTGCCCTTGAAATTGGCCCCTTCAAACAGGGAGATCTTGTGCTCCTGGGTGTCCTGGGAAAGGAGAGCTGTGTCAGGAACAGGAAGCAGGAGTGGAACAGAGAGAACAGACTTAGTGGGAAGGAGAGGCTGAGCGGGCTTGGGCCAGGATTGCTGCTGCCTGGCCTGGAAGGGTCCACTGCATCTGGGAAAAAGGGCAGAAGCCCCCAGGTCTTAACACAGTCCCGAGGATGAAGTGAGTTAATCCATACACAGCTCTGGGCACAATGCTTGTCCACCCAGAGTGACCAAAACTGTTTTCATGATGATGATTGTCGGGGACATAGAGGCTCAGAGAGGTCAAGTTTCATAGCCAGTGAAGGGCAGAACCTTTCAGTGAAAGGTTCCCACTCCCCTCAGCCCCATCTGTGTCCCTGTGCTAGCAGCCGTTTAATCTAATGGCCTTTTGTAAGTGCTTCTTACAAACGGAGTAAAGTGACAAACAGATCCGGGGGTCATGAAAGACACCGGTGGAACAGAGCCAGGTTGGAATCTTGCCTCTGACATCTGTCTGTGGGTGCCTTGGGGGACTTTACCCTGCCCCTCTGAACCTCGCTTTTTTCACCTATAGAATGGGGTTACAGTTGCCTCATGCCTGGGATTGTGAGTAATCATTCCTCAGCTCACGGTTGAGGGGTGACTGTGAGAGGTCCAGCTTCGAGTCAGTGCTGGCTTGCGCTGATTTTTTTTCCAGCACTGGGGATGAAAGCCCTGGCCTTGTGTGAGACAGGCAAGTGCTCTGCCACTGAGGTGCATGCCCAGCCCAGAATAGTGTTTTAATGCTGCAAGCCCCCAGGCCTCAAGTTTTAAAGTGGCCTGTTATTTCTGAGGGCAGGGATCACACCTTTTCCAAAGGAATCACAAACTGCTACAGGCTCAGGGATGAAGTGCCCAGGGATGGCCCAGCTAGCGAATCAGAGCAAGGCCAACCCCAAGCATCTCTGGGGTCCACCAGGCTAAGTCTGATTCCCAGCCCTATCACTGAGCAGCTGTGTGACCTTTGCCCTTCATTTTCCACTTCGGAGCCCCAGCTTCCTTGTCCTTAATGTAAGTGTTATGAAAACCTCTGCCCCCTAGGACTGTTGTGGGATTCCATGAAATGCAGGAAAGCACACAGTATACATAGATCTCTCTTTTTGAGGGGGTGGGTACTGGGGATTGAACTTGGGACCTTGTGCTTTTGAGGCAGGCACCGGAACCACTGAATTAAATCCCTGGCCCCCAGCACATAGTATACAGTAGGTGCTTAATGAATGGTTGGTATGATCGCCTACAATTATTCACCACTGAGAAGTAGGGGGCCAGATGTAAGTGCATCTGTCTATGAAAGACTCCAGAAGAAGGTTGTAGATGAAGCAAGAGTCAGCTAATTCTTCCAGAGGGAAGGAAAGTAGATCAGGGAAGGTTCCATGGGAGAAGGGATATTTGACAAGGGCTTTGGAGGTTAAATAGAAGTGTACATGGCAGAGAAGAGAGGGAGGGTGAAGGAAGGCAATGAGTAGAAGAGAAGGTACAGGCAAAGGCTGCCAGGTTTGAAGGTGCATGGTGGGTGTGTTGAAAAGTATGCATCAGTGTGGCCAGGATGTAAGAAGGTAAGTGTGGTGTGAGGGGGGATCCAAACACCAGGCACCTTTGCATGCTGGGAAAAATGCCCTTGGTATGACTGCCAGTTCACACTAACCTCTTAATTAGTAACAGCCTTTACTTCTTACTGCTGAAGTCTTGGGAAGGTTAAGCCAGTCCATGGCTCCTTGCTGCTGGTGGGGCCAAGACCAAACTCCTCACCGTGGCCTGTGACGCCCTGCAGGACCAAGCTTCGGCCGATGCTCCCTCCACTCTTGCACCCCTCTCCCCTCCACTCCCTCTGCTGCAGCCACTCCCCAGTTTGTCCGTGCTTTGGGTTCTTTGCATACACTGTTCCCGGAAGGGTTTTCTACCACCCTTCACGTGGCCAGTGGTTCCCAACCTTCCAGAGCTGTCTAAAATATTATAATTCTAATATGTAACCAATAATAATAATTTTTTTGGAGCACTGAGGATTGAATCAATGGCCTGCATACTGAGCTACATGCCCAGCCCTTTTTTATCTTTAATTTTGAGACAGGATCTTGCTAAATTACTAAGTTCCCCAGGTTGGGCTCAAATATGCAATCTTCTTGCATTAGTCAGAGTGCTGGGATTACAGGCATGCACCACCATGCCTAGCACCATTATAAAAATATTAACATGAGATTTTACATCAGTTTTTTCTGTACTTTCAGAACAGGTGTGTATTTCATACTTACAGAGCATCGCCACTTAGAGTAGCCAAAATTCAAATTCATTAGCCACTGAATTCAAATTCAGCCACTTGTAGCTCGTGCCCAGTATATTGGACAGCATAGATCTAGAATAGTGATGGCAAACCTTTTAGAGACCAGGGACCAAACTGCAACCTAGAACCCACTTATTTATCGCAAAGTGCCAACACTGCAATTAAACCTGAACACTGAGATTTTAGTTTAGAAAGAACAGTTCTACATTAACATCTTTTGACTTAAAAGAAAAACACAATAACACGCTTGCCATAGGTTCACCACCACTGTTCTAGGAGTTACCAGAAGTGCTTTAGCTAAGGCATTTCCCTCCAATAAGCTGCCTTAACTTAGATGGTCATAGAGAGGCCATTAGAGGATTGAGAGATAAACCTATGAATTCTTTTTTTTTTTGGAGACAGAGTCTCACTATGTAGCCCAGGCTGACCTTGAACTCATGGTGATCCTCCTGCCTCAGTCTCCCAAGTGCTGGGATCACAGGCATGTGCCACCACACAAAGCAAACCTATGAATTCTTACAAACAGTAATTCAGTCTCAAATTCTGAGAAAAGCACTGGCAATACTCTGGTTGTCTAATCCATTAAGAGAAGCTTGGTGATGTCAAAGCAGCTGCTTGTTGGTACCTGACCCCTTCAAATGGACATTCATAATAATTCCTTATGGATATTCCCATAGTGGGAGACAAATATTGGGTTCCATCAGGGGCTAGCATTGGTGAGTTAGAGGTAGTTGGCTCACGACTCATAATTCTGAAAACATTGAAGCACGTGGGGATACCTGCATTTATCTAGACTGATTCTTCTTTATGCTGACTTCAGTATTATGATGCTAATTCAGTGTACTGTCTTATTATCCAGAGGTTCCAGCTGCCTCCTCACAGCCTCCCCTTCTAGCCACTGCGTAAGTTTCAACCTGCATGTTTGGTGATTTGCATGGACATTGGGGTTTTTTGATTTTTGAGACAGGGCCTTGCTATGTAGTTCAGGCTGGGCTGGAATTCACTGTGTAGTCCAGGCTGGCCTCGATCTCGCTGTGATCCTCCTGCCTCGACCTCTTTAGTGGTGGGATTACAGGCGTACGCCACCAGGCCCAGCTTGGATATTGGGTTTTAAAACCACTCCAAGAGGACATAATGTGTACTCAGGAACTTGAAACACCTTGCAAAGAGAGTCAAGGAAGTCCCTGGAATTTCTAGCTCTGACAGCTGGAAGGTGGGTCTGACCTCCATAGCAGAGGGAATGGAGATCACCTGGTTTCTGTTTGTAACTGCCCAGGATCCCCAGCTTGGGCTGGGTACAGATCTAGTGGGTTGGATGCTTGCTGGATCCACGAGCACAAGACCCTCCTGCTCCTTGACAACCCACAGGTCCCCCACCTCCCTGCCCTATTCCCTCTTCCTTTCCCTGGCCCACGGTCAGACGTCAGACTTTGGATCCATCCTGCCTTGCATAACTGACTCCAAAGCACCTGCTCCAGAGCCACTCACCATCCTCACAGGTCGGAAGGACATGAGCCGGTCACTGCGGTAGCTGCTTGACCAGGTGTCCCAGCGAGGGTACTCGCCCTTCTCCAGGACGAACATCTCCCCTCGGAAGCTGGACTGCTCAAAGGCGACCCAGCTGGATGAGAGAAGGACCCGGAGGGGCAGAGGCAGAGAGGAGAAAAAGCATTAGTAGATGCTCCTCTCCCTGCTTGTATTCCTGTCTCCCTTTGCAAAGCAGGCCTGAGGCCAGCACGGTCCAAAGTGGGCCTAACATATCTGGGCTTGCTTCTAGGCTGTGCCCATACCAGCTGTATGACTATGGGCAAGTGGCTTCGCCTCTCTGACCCTTACTTTTCTCATGTGCACTAATACACTTATTTTCTTGAAGTTGGTGAAAGATTACATGAAATAATGTGTATAATTATCTGCAAATGTAGGATTCACACAGGCTGTGAGTACTTCAAGAATCTAGGGCCAAATAACTCAGGCATTTTCTGTTAAGCCTGATTATAGCTAAAGTGTCGTTAACGTTTACTAATCTCTCTTTTTATAATAGTGGAAGAGCAGGCCCCAACTCAGAGCCTTGGGCAGGCAGCAGTATAATACCACTGACTTTGTGTTTACTGTTTTTTATGGAAACATTTGACTTAAAACAAGTGATACTAGCTTTCTGTTTATAAAAAAAGCAATGCAAAGGTTATTTTTAAATATATATATTCAAAATATATACGCTTGAGTTTTAAATGAACAATTTAAAATAAAATCTATTAAATAGCCAATAATTCCAGAGGCACACGGTAAGAGAAAAACTGACACAAGTTTGGTAAAGACTGGCTTGGCATCTAGGAGATACTCAGGGCCAGGTATGGGATGGTGGGAGGGAATGAGTATACTATCTAAATCTCAGATACCTGTATGAATCAATATGATATGATAGTGCAAATGAAAGTGTTTGGTCTTTAACAAGGACAAATTAGGAATCTGAAGTCAAATGAGGCTTTTCCTGACATTCCCAATGCAGCTGGATTAAAGATGGAGGTTGGAAGGCCTGGGGGTTCTAGGGAGAAAGGATGGTCCTCATTCTATGGAGGAGAAGGTCAACTAAGGGGCCCTGGGCCTGTGCTGTCCATGAGTTCAGGAGTTCTTAGGAAGCAAGAAAGTGCCAAGGGGACACCCATGTAGCATCATATTCCTAGGGACTATCCTCTCCCCAGAAATGACAGTGATGAGACAGAGTCATGGACTGAGACAAAATGCATCCCAGGAGTCTCAGGCCTTTGTCTGAGGGATGCATCTACCACACTTGAGGGACAGACTTGAAAATGTGGACTTACTGTTTTGAAATAGAGCTGAATCTGCCTCAGTTCTGCCTGGTCTGGAGTCTGGAGGACTGATGGATGGATGGATGGTAGAAGGACAGGTAGATGAATGGATGGATGCGTGGATGGCAGATAGATAGATGGGGAGATGGCTGGGTGGATGGATGTCTGGATGGATGGATGGATGGGGAAGTGGATGGATGATGAATGTATGGGTAGAGAGATGCATGAGTGTGGGGGCGCATCTTGGAAGGTAGAAGAGTGTAGGTGTTAAGCACACAGACTCTGGAAGCCAACAGACCTGACTCACTATTTGCCCTGTGACTTCAGACAGTCACTGAAGCTCACTAAGACTGATTTGGACTTACTACCCTACTCAGCCTTCCCCAAACCTCCTCTGTCTTCTTCAGGAGGTTTTGAGGGCCTGAGACAAGAGGGAGGGATTTGACATATTTCTCTCAATGCCTTTCTCCTCTTCTATGAATCTGTGGAGCTTGCATGTGAGAAGAGGGAAAGAGCAGGACTCTGAATTTACAGACATGGAAACTGAGGTTCAGGGGGGCGAAGTTCCTAGACTAAGTTCTCGCAGTTGTGTCAGGTGTCAGGAGGAGGTCTTCCAGGGCTCAGGCAGCCATGTCTCCCACCCTGTGTTGCAGGTACCTCCCCCCACTTCGCCTCCTCTTCATCCTTTCTCCCTACAGCCCTGCTGGCCTGGACCCAGCCCCAGGCCCTGGACCACAAGTCTGTTTTTACCTGCTTTGTGTGCACATAGAAAGACCAGCTGCATCTGTGTCTCCAAGGAAAAACAGTCTGAGTTTGAGTCACCAGCACCAAAAACAGCATGAAACCCCAGGCTGGCCACATCCGGCAGTTTCTGTTCCCAGCTGGGCTTGGGGACTGTGGGCGGGGCTGAAGTGGTGTTAACCACACCAGGGGTGGGGTGGGACAGGAGGCACAGTGGCCCCTGGACCAGGGTGCCTTGTCTATACTCACAGAGTGATGGCATGTTGGGCACCTGCTATGTGTGGCTGCCCACAAAATGCCAGCTCCATTCTGCATTACCTCCTACAGACCTTGAATAATCCTGTGTGGGTGAGTAGGGACTGTGCTTCTCCCCATTCCAGAGAAGAGGAAACCGAGGCCTGGAGACAGAGCCAGGCAAACAGGGAGTCGGAACTCAACCCAAACTCGTCTGACTTCAAAGCCTCAAGCTCATCCCATCTCTGCGATTTGCCCAAGAGGCCCAGAATGCAGGCTGATCATGTCCCTGGGGGCTTTGTGGGGAGGAAACCAGGGCAAGTTTTGTCCTGGACTGGCCCGGGGCCCTGACCTCTGCTCACAGAGGCCCAAGGGGGACAGCTGGTCTGTCTGAGGGACAAGGACTTCTATTTTCTGTGGGGACCACAAATGCCAAGAGATGTCCAGATTCGGGCCAGTCAGTGAGGACTGGTGCTTAAGAATGCTGGGAATGAAATCAGCCAACCTGAACCAAATTCAGGTTCAGCTGCTTACACTGGGTGACGGTGGCCACCTGTCTGAACCCTGCAGAGCCTCAGTTTCCCCACCTGTTAAATGAGGATAAGAACAGCCCTTTCCTCAAATAGCATGGTGCAATCGCCAGGGGAAGCCCTGATGCCTGGTTCCTTCTGCATGCTCTAGGGCCACACGATGCACAGGAGAGGGTCAGCAAATGGACATGTGGCTCTTTGGCTTCTCCCTGCCCTCAGCAATGGGCTAAGATTCCTTCTATACCAGGAGTGGCATTTTCCTGCAGCCTAAAACCATGGCTCATTGTCAGTGTGACCTTCATGAATGGGGCCACTGCCCTGAGCCTCAGTCTCCCCATCTGTGAGATTGGAAGGATGATCATACTTCCCTCTCAGGTTTGTGGTCCGGATTGGGAATAAGAGAGGCACCGCTACACCATCCAGGCAAAGAGAAGGCACCTGCTGAATGCTTTGCTACCATTGTTGAGTTATCATGGCCAGAGGGTTGCCCAGAGCCACACTCACGGTCCACAAGTGACGATGAGGCTGTGCACTCGGTCGAAGCTGTGGTCTCCCAGGTTCGGGCACTCTCTCGAGAACTCCACGCGCCGGCCTTGGAGGTTTTCCTGCTCAGAGACCACCAGCTACAGGAGAGAAGCCCCCAGGAGGCTGCAGAGTGAGGGACACAACCCAGTTCTGTGCCCCTGAGGTCTAAACAAGCTGAACCCAGGTCAGAATTCCTTACGCATTTGTCCCCATCCACACAGGGGTGCGGGTCATATGAGCCACAGTTTGTGGAAGGATCGTGTCTTTCTGCCTCCTGACTACTGAGCTTCAGGGCTGCACCATCCTCAGGAACATAGGGGTGGGTCTCCCTCCCAGGCCTTTCCTGTCTCTGTGCTATTTCTGGAAGACCCTCGCTGCCACACACCCCAGTCCTGGGGCCCTCACTGCTGCACTTGTTCCCTAACTCATGTTCTGGACTAGAAGCCATGGTTCTGCTTTGATTCGAGACTCAGATGTCACCTCCTGGAACCCTTCCCAGATTTCTCCTCCTCCAGCCAGCCCTGTGTTGGGTCTTGACTGTGAGCCCCTACTTGCTCACCCGATTACAGCCTAAGTGACAACATTACAGAGTCTCTTCTGCAGTTTCAGGCTTCTCTTTCTCCCTCTTCCCATTCCTCTCAGTCTTTGTCTCTCTCCGCCCTTCTCCCCTTTCTTCAGCCCCTCTGAAGTAAGGGTTCTCCAGGGTCTGGGCCCCTCTGAGTGTGTGTCTGCAGCCTCAGATATAGGAAATGCTTGGTAGTCTTCTCTGACGACTCAGCCAGCCTCACCCTGCTGAGCCTTGCAATTGGGCTCTTTATCCTCTTGCTGTCCCAAGTCGGGAAAACATGGAGGTTCACTTGAACTGAGGCACCTGCTTGCTCTCTTGGAGCCTCGGGTTTCTTGCTGTAGAAAGGAGGCTCCCATTGCCTACACCAGGCACTTCCACTTCTATGCTGGTCCACTGGAGAGGCTCCTGTGTGAGAGCTGGGGACTGAAACATGATTGTCCCAGCCAACAGGTGCCATGGCCTGCACCTGTTGCCCCAGCTACTTGGGAGGCTGAAGTGGGATGATCCCATGAGCCCAGGAGTCGGACAGCTTGGATAACATAGTGAGACCTCTCTCAAAACAACAAAAGAATGAATACCCCAGGCACACTGTGCCACCACCCAGAGGAGAGATCCTCAGCAGGAGAGTGACGACCTGCTCTGAACCGTCACAGACACAGCAGCCAGAACAAATGACTCCTGAAATGCTCACCTAGATGGAGGCGCATTCAGAATCACGTAGTCAGTGATGGGAAAAAACGCAGAATAAGCACACTCAGCATTTCAATAGGCTAAAAACAAGTCTACTTTTAAAGGAACAGTGTACAGCACCATAGAAATATATAGCAAGCACGTAATGAACACAGGAGGAGAGACTGGCAGTTGTCTGGAAGCTTAGGGTCCAGTAGAGGATTTTTACCAAGTCCTGGGTGTGCTCTCTCCCTTTCTCTTCCCCTGCCCCCCCCCCCCCGTACTGAGGATGGCACCCAGAGCCTCATGCATATGAGGCAAGCACTCTACTGAGGAGCTATATCCTCAGCACTTTTTAATTTTTATTTTGAGACAGGGTCTTGCTAATTGGCCAGGCTAGCATTTAACTTGAGATCCTCTTCCTGCCTCAGCCTCCAGAGTAGCTCTAATACAGGTGTGCACTGTCCCACCAAGGTGGGTGCTGGGTTTTATATGGATAGTGTGTTTGCAGGTGCTGGTTGCATTGTTAAAATGACTTCTCAAATAAAACTACAGAAATGAAAGCAGCCCGCCTTGAGTGGACCATGTGGGAACATGCCACGCATGGGGAAGGTGGCCAAGTCTGCACTGAGGGTAAAACCAGACCAAATCAAGACCCTGGGGGCAGGTGCCTTGCTCTCCAGGGCCTTTCCAGCCTGGATGCTCGGAGCAGTTTCCAGGAGGGTGTGAGGCCAGCCTGCTGCCCTGGCCCTGCCTCTGAGACAGGGGGCACCTGCAGCTGAGCCTGCCCACTTCCTCTTCTTTCCCTGCTTCTGGCTTTAACACATCCTCTGCAGGCCTTCTCGAGCTGTCCCTTTATTGCTTGTTCAGTGGCTAAGTGCCGTGTTTTGGTTTCATTTCCCAACTCCGGAAAGGGCTCCTTCATATCAGGTGTGTTGAGACCCCTGACCATTTTCTTGGGCTCCCGACTGGCTGGGCACAGGTGTGTCTGGGAAGGAAGGGAGGGAAAGAAGCCAAGGAGGAGAAAAAGAGGCAGAGGAAGGAAAGGATGGGAAGATGGAGGATCAGGGGAGGAGGGGAGAAATTTGGCAGAAGAGGAGAAGGAAGAGGTGGGAAGGAAAGAGGTAGGGAGAAGCGAGGAGGAGGAGGAAGAAGAAGAGGAGGAAGAGGGAGAGGAGGAGGAGAAGGAGGCGAAGAAGGGAAGGAGGGATGGGGAGGAAAGGGGCCCAGTCAAGCTACCCCACACCCAGATCCTTCCCCGGTAGCTCCTGGGTGGCAGGTCCCCCACCTTGGCGCTGGGTACGGGCACGGATGCTGGGGCCAGGGCAGGGCTGGGCCCCTGGGCTGGTCCTGAGGGTGGGGCCCCCTTGCTCTTGGCATTGGGCCCCGGGTTCACTGCCACTGTGGCTGAGGCCTTTGCAGCCTGAGACATGGTTCCTTCCTGCAGAGCGAGTAGAGAAACCTCTGGCCTTAGTGAATTTAGGGGTGGCACCTGCAAGCTGCACCCCGCTTTCATGCCCCCTTCACCCTGTGTTTCCAAGCTCCTCAAACTCATTTCCTCTCTTTTTCTTTGGAAGTATACGGCTGGAAGTGTTTTTGCTCTATCTCTGCTTCCCAGCCAAGAATTTCCCATCCGAGTCCACTGACCCCTTAGATATCTTCTGCCAGGCCTACTCTGACTGCGCTGTGCCTTCCGCTAGGCTAGTCATGCTTTCCTCCTCCCCTTTTCCCTCATGTGCCTTCCCCAGTCTCCTGCAGCTCTTGACCAACATCTCACTTACTTGTATTTGCAACCTTGGTTTGCCTCATCAGATGTAGAACAGTGAGGAGCCACATTTGGGAGGCCTTAGGCACGCCAGGGACCATCAGGAACCTAACTCCACCCATCTTGCCCTGCCTATAAGCCAGAGGAATGATGGGGTCGCTGTGACCCCTGCCTGAGCCGAGCCTTCTGAGACTGGGGGAGAGAGGTACCCTGCCTGGACCACTCAGCAGGAGGCATCCATTTTCAACTCCAGTTTCCAGCACATGGACCCAGGTGGGTGGGTATCAGATGCTCTGCCTGGCATTTAATCTCGATCTGTTCACCCCTCTCTCCTCAGTGCTTGGCTTGGTGCCTGGCATACAGGAGCATCTCATCTGACATCTGTTCAGAGACTAAACGCTGCATGTCCACACTCTCATACCCAGGTGGCTGCCTCTGGCATCCTCTGGGGACAGGAACGTGGGAGCAAACACAGGCCTGGGCCTCGGGCATGCAGGAGAACCCCTGAGGATGGTTTCAGCTCATATCCAGGACTCTAAAACAAGCACTGTGGCTGTGTAGGCATTGGGTGGAGAGGGCTTTGGTCATTTCCAGTGGTTCCCCACTGCCTTGGGGACATAAACTTCTGAGTGTGTGACAGATGCCTTGATTTTGTCTCCAGAAGAAAATAAATGATCCCAATTTGTAGATAATTGGAGGCCCCCTGACAGCAAAAGTTCCAGGTGATTCCCAACTTTCCCTCTCTAGTTGGGGAGAGTAGATTCTTCCACCAGCCTCCCTGAGCAAGGCTGTGGCCACTCTGGAGTCCTCTGGCACCAAGGCGGGCCAGACATCTGGGCCACATCCGGGGCTTCTGGCCAACCCTGACCCCGTTCTGTGCAACACTGCCATGGGAGTAGTACAGACTCATGCTTCCCTAGACCCGTTTTCACTCTTTCCATCCCTCCTCCTCCTCCTCTTCCTCCTCCTCCTTCCTCTTCTTTCTCTTCTCTCTCTCCCTGCCTGTCTTTCACTGTCTAATTCCATTATTACTTCCCTCTCTCCCTCTTAGTCTTCTGTCTCTTTCTTTTTCTCTCTTTGCCAGTGTCCTGCCCACTGTGTATCTCTGCCTAGCTCTCCCTGTTCATTATCTCTATTTGTTCTCTATTTTTCTTTCTTCCATTGTCTTTTTCTCTCCTTTCTCTGCCCTTCTCTCTTATCTTGTATTCCCTGCCTCTCTACTACATTCCTCTCTCTCTCCCCCTCCCCCTCCCTCTCTCTTTCTCTTTCTCTCTTTCCCCTTCAGCTCTTGGTAGCACAGTGGCTTTCTTCTTACCTGGGGACTTGCTACTTCCTCCTGGAGGACAGACTGTGCTCTGGGAACAAGGGGCCGACCCCCCATTTTGTAATCTGGCAGACATCAGGCTCTATAGTGCAGGGCACAAAGGGGGCACTGGCTCAGTAGGCCTGAAAGGCTGGGGACCAGGCCAGCCTCCCTGGTTACTGCCAAGAGCAGCACTTTCCATTGTGAGCTGAGTGCAGGGCAGAAGCCTGGGTCTGCTGGTCACCCTGGGCCTCCTGACCACCCTGACTCCTCTCTCCATGGCCACAGGCAGGGTGGGCTTGAGGGTCCCTGTGGGATCCAACACAGGGTGCTAAAGGGGCACACCCAGTGGGCAGGAGACCTGGGTTTGACTCCTGCCTCTGGCACGAGGCACTGGTGACTTTGATCAAGTCTCTGCCTTCTCTGCCTCTGCATCTGCAGTCAGGGGTGACTTCCAGTGTCCCTGTCAGGTGCTGCACAAAGGTAAGGTGACACTGTGTGCAGGAGAAATGGTCTACAAAGCAGAGGTGGGCTTCCACAGCCCCTTCCTGGTGCTAAGCATGACACCAAATGCTTTGCCCTTGTCACCTCTGACAATCAAGGTGCTGATGAGGAAGGCCAGGGCACGGAGAGGTCAGTGCCTGCCCAGGTAGGCAAGCAGGCTGGCCCTGGGCCCCTGTGCTTTGTCTCACGCCATCTGGTCTTGGCCCTGGCCTGTGGCCCTCATCCTCCTCTTCTGATTTCAGACAGGCCTGGGGTTTCCTCATGCTCAGGTGGGCTCAGCATCCAAGACCTGGGGCCTATTCCTTTGCGCACACTGGGCTCCACCCTTTGCTGACCTGCCCGGAGTCTCTGCCAATTCCCATCATCTGACCCCAGGGACAGAGCTGGTGGCCAGGACTATGGCAGCTGCCTCAGACTCTACTGCATCTTGCTCGCCAATGGTCCCAGCCCCTGGTTCAGGGCCTGGTTACAGCAGGCCTCCTTTAGGATTTGGTGACTAAATGGGCACTACAATGGTCCATAACAGGAAGTGTGGGGGACATGAGGAAACCCAGGTCAGGAGAGAGAAACTGAGGATAGCAGAGAGTGACAGACAAGAGGGTAGACAGACAGAGGAACAGAGGTGGAGAGGGGAGACCAGTGGTGAAGGAGAGAGACAGAGAAGCAGGGTCCAGGTGGGACAGCACAGACTCTACAGAAGAGAGAAGATGTCGGAGCCCATGTGGTCTGATTCCCTCATGCCACAAACGGAGAAACTGAGGCCCAGGAGGACAAGTGACTTTGACCAGGTCCCATGACAGGAATTCACAGTGGAGCTGAGCCAGAGGGACCCAAGAGAATGCTCAGCCAGGTCACCTGCAGGCCAACTCTCCAGGCCCAGGAAGGGTATATGAGGGGCATCTTATGGGTTCCTGCCTTGTCTTTGGGGGCCCATGGTGCCCAGCTCTGCCTTGTGATCCCACTGGCTTGGGGCCAGCTCTGCCTCGGCAGCTCCCTGTTCCTGCCCCCAGCAGCTCCAGCCTCCCCCTTTCATCCTGAGCCAAGGCCCAGGAGGGCGAGGCAGGAAGTGTGGAACAGGACAAGACAGGCCAGCCAGTGGGGCCAGGGCCGGGGCCAAGATGCCTGTGGTGGGGGCCACCCCCGGTCTGGGCCCCAAGGCTTTGCCATCTGGGGCAGTTCCGTGCCCGCCTTGGCAATGAGCCACCCACCAAAGGGTGGGAGCAGGGGTGGGATGGACACCATGCTGGCTGCCTCTGCTCAGAGCATTTGACTGACTTGGGTTCTGTGATCTTCTCTCAGAGGAGCGGCCTCAGGGTTTAGTCCCACTTACAGATGAGAAGCTGAGGCTGCTCCTCCCCTCTTCCAGCCCGGTTCCTCTTCTCACAGATGGGATCAGGACCAATATCTAACTCCCAAAGTCAAGCTCTTAGATACTCTTTGCGAGTGATTATTTAATAATGAGCACTTTTATTATTAGTGATGAGGATGACAAAATGATGGAGATACATAATTGCTTTTTATATCACTGGAACAGTTACAGATGCCAATCATAGTTGTCACATTTATCCTCACAACACCCCAGTCACTCAGGCTAGACCTCGTTACCCTGTTGCACTCACTTATGCTCAGGGAAACTGAGGCTTGGAGAGAGATTAGGGAACATGCTCAAAGCTCCCCAGTCAGCCAGATGGGGGTGCAAACCGGGCTGCCTGGCTTCATCTTTAATCTTTAATTTTCATGGTCACCCTTTATCAGAGTCACACAGGTGATCAAGTTACATTTACCCCTCCTCTCCAAGAAGGGATGGATGTGATCATTTCACAGGCCCCCAAGGGATCAGTTTCCAGGTCATCCAGATGGTATGAGGCTGGGCTGGATCTCACCATGGGTAAATTGGTTCCTAGCTGTGCTCTTTCCTCCTTCATGCCTCTTTAGCCAACCTGAGGTTGAGGTGCAGGGAGCAGAGGTACCCAGGGAATTTCTGCAAGCCCTGGATGTTCAGCAAGTGAATTACAATTTGCAAAGCATGATTGTGACCAACAGCTCTGCTTCTGCCAGTAGAGCCATCTGGACACTTCATTGGCTTTGCAGACCTTGCAGGCTGGGGCCCAGCCCATCTCTCCTAGCTCCTCCCTTTTAGGACCCTTGAGGCTCCAACCCAGATGGGTGACTAGCTCTTCCTTGTCCTCGGACCTCAACACCCCCACACACAACCTCTGGCTTAGATACATTTCCTCCATCTTACTCTGCAAATCCTTCTCACCCTTCAGAGCCCAGCTGAAATGCCACCTCCAGCAGGCAGCCTGCCTGCACTGCTCCAGCTGGAATGGGAATGGGCATGGGAGGGGCAAAGGAATGGGCATGTCACACCACCTCACAACAACCCATGGTATAGTTTGTTTCCATCCCGTTTTACAGGCAGAGACTGAAGGGGAATGACTCGCTCAAGGTCACAGGGCCGGTAGGGATGACTCTGGGCTCCTCATTTGGTGCCCACACTCCTGCTTCAGCCCTGTGGAGCTGACTGAGCCTGACCTTCCACCTCTCACCATCCTCCATGGCTGTCCCCTGGAGGAGACGACCTGCCCTGTCCCCTCCCAGCTAAAGCCAGAGCTGCTGACACCTCGGCCCTGGGGTTGTGGCCAGGGCTGGCTTTTGTTTCTGCCATCTACTTCCTGAGTCGGGGCTTTGCCAGCCAGGGGCCCCTCTCTGCTGCCTCCCTATAAGTGCTTGGCCTTGGTGGGTCCCAGTTCTGCCGTGTTCTCTGGGCCCATCTCGGTAAGTCTCAGGTTTGGAGTGCTGGGCTCAGAGGTTGGAGTGAACATCCTGGGAGGGGAGTGGCCCAGGTCTCCAGTCCTGTGTCATCCCAAATGCCGTCCTCATCCCAACCAGGATCAGGCCCCACACACCCAGACTGGTCCCTGTGAGCCTTAGTTGGGCACAGCACTTCCTGTAGATGGTTGCTGCATCCCCTCAGCTGTGCACCCCGGTCCTTGCCTGCCGGTTGCCCTGGTAGCCACACAAAGTCCCCTGTGGAGAGCAGACTAATCCACACACAGCAGGGCTCAGAGACACCAGGACCCAGTGTGGAGTAAGATATGAGGTGGGGCCAGTGTGGAAGATCCGCTGGCCCCAGATGGGAAGGACAGGAGAGGGACAGGCCAGAGCAGAGATCCAGGATCCTGCCCCTGCCCAAAGCAGCAGGGAGGTGAGTGGATCGGGCGGGAGGGTCTCACCTTCTTCTTCTGTGCAGGAAGTGGCCAGCATGGCACTGCAGTGCACCAAGTCCGCGGGACACTGGAGGGTAGGGAGTGGCCAGGAGGGTGGCCTGGGAGGGGGGTGGACACAGGTCAAACCAAGCCCACAGAATCTTTGTCCCCACCTCCGCTGAATCCCTGCCTTTCCTCGGGGAGGGTTCAGAATGCCCATTTCACAGAGGATCCCACCAAGGCTCAGAATAGGGCAGGGACTTGCCCAGGTGAGCCTGAGTGCAAACTTGAGTCTTCTGGATCCCGAACTTGGACTGCTACATTCTCTGGCAGAGATCATGCTTGTCTCCTGCCCGATTTCTTTGACTCTGCCTGTCTTTGGGGAGAAAAACTTTGAATTTGTCATCAGCCTTAAAAACCTGGAGGATTCAAGTAAAAGTCCAGGCATAGAGAGTGTCTGGAAGAATCCAGAAAGTCTGGCTGCATTCCCACTTGACAGTGGTTGGTGGCGCTAGACTGAGGCCACCTTGCCTCGACCTAGGCTCTCCCTGCCCCCCATCACTTCCCTTCCCTGCCTGGGTGAGCATCTGGGTTTCCACCCCAGTTTTACCCATCCTGCTCCACCCTGAGCCCTGGGGGGACTCCCACCCCTCACCCCCATCGGATGCTGACACCTGCAGCCTTCACTGCTCTACCTTTCCTCTCTGGCACAGGTGGTGGTGTGGGATGAAGAGGGCTTCCAGGGCCGGTGGTACAAGTTTACAGCTGAGTGCCCCAGTGTGCTGGATCTGGGCTTCAAGACCGTGAGATCTTTGAAAGTGCTGAGTGGAGCGTGAGTGTGTGTGCGTGTGTGTGGCGGGGGGGTAGTCAATGAGATGGGAGTGGGAAGACAGGAAAGGACCTAGGGAGTGGTTCTGGGATTTCCAGATGTTTTCAGCCTCATCTTCCCAGCCTGCTCCATACTTCCCCAGACAGGCTAGTGCTCCCATCTGAGCCCCATTCCCCTTTCTGCAAGAAGCAGAAGCTAAAGGGACAATTACTATGGTGTGCATGCCTGTGCTCTCCTGAAGTGCTGAGGACTGCTGTGTAAGCTTACACAGGTTGTGCACTGTCCAAATGTAGGGGGTGCCATTCACAGAGTCTCTGCCCACTGGATAAGACAAATCCATTGGGTCTAAAAAGATCCCTCTTAGGCATAAACTGAAAGCCAACCTCACTCACTAAAAGTAGAAGGCAAATATACAACTAGAGTTTTTAAAAATGCTATTAATTTTTAGCTGAATACTACTGAGATGCTACACATGATCTCTTTTTTGGAGAATGGAGAGGGTCAGGGTTAGGATTAGGCTGGCAGCCATGGTGGTAAGGAGACAGGAAACTGGACAGAATCAGACCATATATGGCCACAGAGGCAACAAAGGCAAGGTGCACGTGGGGTCAGCCTCCTGGGGTCCTTTCCCCATAGTTGAACCAGAATAAAAGGCCCAGATGGACAACAGGCAGTGGCGTGGGCAGCTCCCTGTAGCTGAGGAGCCACTGCTGTGCTTTAGCTTAGCCCCTCCTGTCCCCTGCTGGGTGTCTGGTGCAAGCCCCACATCTCATGAGACCCAGAGGGCATAGAGGAGAAGATGTGGTGTCTGGGCAGTGCCCCACGACTGCCCTCTCTCGTGGCCCAGCAGGGTCACCAGGAATCCCACAGGCGGCCCTTGGTGAGCCCTGTGTGCCCTGCCTGTGGGGTGGTGTAGCTGCAGGGTGGCTGGGCACTGGTGTAGGGCACAGGTCCCCTACCTCTAGGGCACACCCGGCGTTCACGGGCTGTGGGGTCTCGACAGCACCTGTGCCCAGCATTCCTGATGCTCTGGGCCTGGCCCACCTTTGTTGGAGGCTCTCCTGTGCACTGTAGGACGAGATTCCAATCCATGGCCTGGTAAGGAACTGGTGGTACAGCAGGAAGTGAGCGGCAGGCGCGGGAGCAAAGCTTTACTTGTGTTTACTGACACTCCCTAAGGCTCCCATCACCGCCTGAGCTCCTCTCTTGTTAGACCAGTGATGCATTAGATTCGCACAGGGGCTCAAACCCTACTGTGAACTGCACACACCAGGGAGCTCGGTGGGTGGCTGACTCCTTTGACTCATCTGGAAGCCATTCTCCGAATTCTGTGCCCACTACCCCGACTGTAGAAAAGCTCTTCCATGAAACCGGTCCCTGGTGCCAAAAGGGTCAGGGACTCCTGCTGTAAGATGCTCAGCAACATCCCCGCCTCCTGTGGATTGAAGGACAGGTGTAGTTCTTCCCCTGAGTGACAGCCACAAATATCTCCAGGCCTTGCCACGTGTCCCCTGCAGCTGTCACAGTCACCCTAGGGAGAGCACCGGCCTGGGACCCAGGGCTGGATGGGGGGGGGGTCTTACCTCTCCACCTGGCCTCCCTCCATCTGCAGGTGGGTGGGCTTCGAGCACACCGGCTTCCAAGGGCAGCAGTACGTGCTGGAGAGGGGTGACTACCCGTGCTGGGATGCCTGGAGCGGGAACACGGCCTATCCCACAGAGAGGCTTACCTCCTTCCGCCCTGTGGCCTGCAGGGTAGTCCTGCCACCTGGACCACTGGAGACCTGAGCCCCACTAGGGGGCGCTGGGCCATCAGACATCTAGAGTTCAAGTTCTCATGTCCCCTCTTCAAGCCATGTGCCAACACAGACAATCTTGTTCCATGCAGCTCACAACCCCTGATGTCTGCAAAGCAACCCTAAAAAGCAGGTGTGGTTAGTTCCACTTTATAGACGTGGAAACAGGGGCTCACACGCTGTGCGCCACTTCTAAGCTCAGACACCTGGTAATTCTTTTTACCAACCACACAATGCCTCTGTTTATCATCAGACCCTGTTGTTGGACATCCAGGTTCATTCCCCACTCTCTTGTCTGTTATGAGGTACATACTTGTAGTTTATTTGTTCCACGATTACTTTCTTTGTGGAAAATTCTGAAAGGGAAGATGATAAACCTCCTATAAGTTTCTAGTACCTGCTGTCTTAATGCCCTTTTGAGATGCTTGCCAAGGAGGCTGATTTAGAGACAAGGGCAGGACCGAGGGGGCCGTGGATACCCAGAGGTCTGCTTTTGGGTACCCAGCAGGGCCCCAGGTGGTCTGACTCTGTCTCCTATCTGTGTCTATAGAATCACCGAGACTCCAGGCTGACCATCTTTGAGCAGGAGAACTTTCTGGGCAGGAAAGGAAAGCTGAGTGATGACTACCCGTCCCTGCAGGCCATGGGCTCCTTCCATGTCCACACTGGGGCATAAGTGGGCCCAAGGCTCTGCCTGGCAGGGCAAAGACAGGGTGTTGGAAAGGATAGTCCATGACCTGTGAAAACTGTGCTGTGGGCTGATGCCCACACTTCAGAGGACATGGAGGCATGTGGGGGTCTCAGGCAGAATTTATGGGACTGGGGGTAATGGAAACCCAGACTAAACTTGTTTAAGCCTAAATGATATTTAGTGACCCCTATAATTAGCTTCAGTTGTGGCTGGTTCCAGGTGCTTTCCCCCTCTGTTGCTCCGCTTGCTTCAGTGTGCTATATTCTTAGATTCACTCTTCCCATTTAAAGGCAAAGATGGCAGCTTTCTCTTTACATTCTAGCCCCAGGGAGAGAGACCCTTCCTCAATGATTCCATCAGAGATTCCAGGAAAGGTGCTCATTGATCCAACAAGAGTTGTGTGCTCCATTCTGAACTAATCTCCATGCCCAAAGGAATGGAATGCTCTGATTGGATAGACCTGGTCACATGCACATTGCTGCTTTCATCTCTTAACCTTAAGAGGTTAAGGTCACCCACCACCTTAACCTAGAGGGGGAAGGATGACAGGATCTTTGGCCAGAAGAGGGGAGGGAAGGTCGATGTCCAGCCATAAAGCCATAAAGACACCAGTGTGGAGCCAGCACCTTGCTCAGTCCAACAGCAGAGAGGAGACTAAATCCAGCTTCCAGGTCAGGATCATTCCCTCTTCCCCCATGAGGGAGCAGATGAAGGCCCAGATGTGGGATTCCCGTTTAGGGGGACATCAGAGCCACCTTCTCAGATGCCCTTTGGCCCCTGGTAGGCAATGATGAAGGTGGGAGTTAAGGTATTTTTTTTTCCTTTAGTTTTCTGAGGAATCACCAAAGAATCTCACTACTTCAGAATAAGATGTCCCTGTGATTCTTGAGTCTGTCTCCCTCTTTTACAGACAGGAAAATGAGGAGTCAAAGTCTAAACAGCAATCTTTGTCCCAGACAATATCGAGATGACATATTCAAACAATAGATCTTTTCTTGGGAGTGGCTCTGGGTAAGGGAGCCGAGGAAAGTTCCTTCCTCCCTTTAAAGATTCATTCATTGGTCTAATATTCACAGGCTCCTCCTCACATCTATCAGGAGAGGAGGCATTAGGCACTAGAGGTGGAGCTGAACAAACCACAGTTGTCCCTGCAGCAGGAGCTCCTGGCAGGGGAGGCTCACATTTCATAAATAACTTTAACATTATTGAATTCAATGAGTGCTACAAAGGTACAATCAGGGATGTGGTCTGATCTTTGGATGGGTCAAATGACCCTGATAAAGTCATGATTGCATTGGGACCCAAAGCACACATACAACTCAGCCATATGAAGAACTGGTGAGAAGGGGAGCATCTCGGAACTTTGATGGAAAACTGCGTGCTCAAAGGCCCTGTGGTTGGGGAGAGAGCTCACATAGTCCAGGCAATGGAATGAAGCTGGGGTGGCTGGGCTGTCCTGGTGGATGCACTGGTGCCTCTGCAGGGTAACCCTCTGTCTCTTCCCGTTTCCAGCTGGGTGTGCTCCCAGTTCCCTGGCTACCGAGGTTTTCAGTATGTGCTGGAGAGTGATCACCACTCGGGTGACTACAAGCGCTTCTGGGAGTGGGGATCTCACGCCCAGACCTTCCAGGTGCAGAGCGTGTGCAGAATCCAGCAGTGAGCTTGAAGGAAGAGCTCATGTGTGTGCGTCCCTGCCAACATAGCTCTGGCGGCTGCGATGTGCTCTGTTCTTCTGCCACCCTCGTGTCCCCTCAGAGCCCAGCCCCCGTGGTGCTGCTGATAATGATGATGATAATAATAATAAAGAGAAGGCCCAGTGTTAGCTGTGCTTTTAATGTTGCTAATGTTCCCAACTAGTTTCTCTTTTTTTTCTTCTTCTTTTGACTCATGGGTTATTTAAAAGGGTGTTATCCAAATCCCTAGTACTTTGAGATTTTCTAGATCTCTTATTTTTATTGATTTGCAAAACTCCACTGTGGCCAGAGAATGTGGTCTATAAGATTTTACTCTCTGAAGTAAATTGAAACTTATTTTGTGGTCTAGTATACAGTACATTGTTGATGGGGTGGAAGGTAAAGTTGAAAAGTATTTATATTTTGGAGTTATAGGGTATAGTGTTCTGTAAACATCAATTTATGAAGTTAGTTGATAGTGTTGGTGTATGTATATTCAGTACTAGAGATCAAACCCAGAGCCTTGCACATGCTAGGCAAATGCTTTATAACTGAGCTACACCTCCTACCCCTTTTATTTTATTTTGAGACAATCTTGCTAAATTCCCCAGGCTTGCTTTGAATTTGTGATCTTCCTGCCTCAGCCTCCCGAGTAGTTGGGATTACAGGCATATTCACTGTGCCTAGCCTAAAAAAAATTTTTTTTATCAGTTATGCTGAGAGGACTGTTTGTATTTCCTACTATGATTTGGATTTATCTTTTTAAAAATCATTTTTGCTGCCTATTTTTTTCTTCAGGAATTTTGAAGCTCTATTCTTAGGTGTACATATATTGATGATTGCTGCTTTACTGATAACTTGTTCTTAGCTTGCTGATTTTAAAGCCAAGCAGAGAGAAAGCTGGTTCTGTCTCAGCTTAATTTCTGATGTCTCTTTCCTTTCTTCCCATTTCTCTGTCACATATACTCTTCAGGAGTCCCTCATTTAACACCTGCCACCTTCCAAAGAAATCTATAAAACAGAGAAATAAATTCACACCCCGAGTGGAGTTGTCTGTGTGTCCATCTCAAGTTAGTTGCCTGTGTGTCATTCTCTTTTCCTGTCTGCCTGTCTCTCTCACCTGCTTGCTCTTGGTTCCTTATTGCATTGGCTACCTAAACCTCTCTCACTCGCCCTCTGGCTCTCCACTCTGGCCCCATCTTTCTTGGCGGATCTCTGTCCCTCATGGAATTTTCCAGATCAAGGTCAGCGTTTCTGACAACATCCATTATTACCCTTAAAGACCAGTTTTAGACCTTCTGTTCCTAATAATCTCTCCCTGTTGTGAAGTTTTAATACTACAGATACAATGTATAATATATCTGTGCAAATACGAAATGTAGATCTGGACTTCGTACAGAGGAAGATTTTATTTTTTGCTCCTGAAGAACCAATTTTCACCTCTTGGGGGCACTATTGCCTTCTTTGGGAAGGTATAATTTTGTCTCATTTTTTTTTCAAGGTGCTCAGAAATGGAAACCCAGGAGGAGGTAAGAATCTGCCTAAGGCCATACAGCAAGATAAAGGCTGCTGGGGATTTAGTGAGTGGTTCCAGTGCCTGCCTCACAAGTACAAGGTCCTGAATTCGATTGCTGGTACCAAAAGAAAGAAAGAAAGAAAGAAAGAAAGAAAGAAAGAAAGAAAGAAAGAAAGAAAGAAAGAAAGAAAGAAAGAAAGAAAGAAAGAAAGAAAGAAAGAAAGAAAGGCAAAAACAGGATTAGAATGCAGACTCTTTCATTCATTCTTCTGTCTGTCCGTCCATCCATCTACCCATCCATCCGTCCAATGTCTTTTATGTAGGAAACACGATTCCAGGGTCTGAGGCTGTAATCAAGCAAAACAGACAAAAGTATCCCTGTGTGAGACTCATGTTCTAGCTGCTGGCTAGAACCACTGGCTCCATGGTTCTCAGTCAGGGTTTTTCAAAGATTCTTTCCTGTTGTTTCTTGAAGGGGAAAAAATTAAAATAGCTTTTGTGTCTCCTGCAGGACTTCCCAGAGCCTTCAGTTGAACATGTCTTGTGACTCACTGGAAGGGAGACTATTCAGAATCTCTCAAACTTACCTACACAACCATCACTCCTTTTTTAGTGTGACAGGGCATCTGGCATGATGAGTGACTTGTAGAGCATAGGATGGGAGCTGCTGTGTTAATGGTGACAGTCATTACAGGCTAGTGTGAATTGTTTTCCTGAAGAACTTTAGGAAATGGGCTGTAGAAGTGTAGTGTTGTGTGTGGGGAGCGGTACTGTCCAGGAAGTGGTCACTTGGTCCATCCTAGCAGTGGGCAGTAGGAAGACGTAGGGTGAGGGCAGTGTAGAGAGGGCCTTGGGTGAGCTGTGGAACTGTGAGACTATGCTGAGGCCCCGGATGGGACCGGGCTGGCCACCACCTTCTAGGCAGACGCCCCTCACTCTGAGCCCCTGAGACCCCACAGCCTGGAGCAGCAGCACCAGCTTAGCACCCTGGGCTCGCAGCTGTAACCTCAGTGTCCTCTGCTGACTAGGGGACATGGGACTCGTGCCTCAGCTTGTGAAAGATGAGAGGATGTGGCGGACTTGCCCAGGCAGGGTGACACAGGCATTAGGCTCCTTCTCAGTGTGGAAAGCTATTCCCGATCTCCCCCAGCCTCCTCTCCTCGGTCACCAACAGGGATGCAATGATGCGCATGATAGATGCTGTTTGTCCCTTTCACGTGTGATATAATTTATCCTCACAGCAGCTTCTTGACATCGTTATTATTCTCTTAAAACCTATCAGAAACTCAAGGCTCAGAGAGGTCAAGCAACTTGTCTAAGACCACCCACCCTGTAAGAACATTAAGTCCACTAGGGGTTGCACAAGATTTTTGGGGTGAATTAAAGAGTTAGTGGGTACAAGTGAGGTTAACAAATAGTATTGTTCTGTTTCAAAAGAGTTAAGAAAGCAGCCCCTCACACTTTAGTATGAATAACTGTAGCTTCTTGTCTATATAGGGAATCCTCAGATCCCTGGGGAAAAGGCAGGGGAAATTTGGTGAAGGAAAGAAGGGAAAAGAGAAGAAAGAAGGAAGGGAAGGAGAGAGGGAGGAAGGAAGGAAATTAGGATTTGATGGTGGCTCTTTGAAGAGGCAGCTCCAGCCAGAACCAAGAGTGGGCCTAGCAACCCTAACAAACGGGACCCCAGATGGGGGATGATGCTGGAGTGACAGGCAGTAAAGAGACAATTTGTCAGGGGTGATCTTGGGAGGGAAGGAAAGAAAGCGTGAAATTATTTTTCATATCTTGCCAGGAGACCAATTTTCCTGGGTTGTGAAGGAAAAGACTTAAATTATTGATGCTATTTGTTCCAAAGTAAGTGGGGGCTGGGACACCCATCACCTGGAGCACTGTGCGCACTCAGGAGGCCTGGCCACGGGCTCAGGCCTGGGGACCCTACCCCAGCAGACTCTGGGCCCACAAAGGGGCAGGGCCTTGTTCCTGACCACACAAGCCGTGCACACTGCTGCTCCTGGCAGCCTCAGTGCTCAGTGCCCACTTGGGCCCAGAGAAGACCACATCCTGGATGTGCACCTGGACGGTGTTCCTGATCCTCTGCAGCTTTGCCACATCGAGCCTCAGTTTCCACTTTGGAGAGGTTATTGTGAAGGCCCGGGAAGCAGACATCTGGGAAACACTGGGAAAATAAGAGGCTCCCAAAGGTGAGGTGGCTCTGATTCTCCCCTGGGTCCTCTCCAGCCCCTCCATCCAATTGTGTGGCTCTTGGTCTTGTCCTTAGGAGGCCACTGATTCCCCCATCCCGTGTTGCTGCCCCACAGGGCACCCCTGGAGGCAAAACCCAGGGACAGGGCCTGGAGTGGGACAGCCTTCGGAGAGAAAGGAAGGAAACACTTGGTAGAGGGAAAGTGGGGTGCGCACGCGTGTGTGTATGCGCGCGCGCGTGTGTGTGTGTGAAGATCTTACACATCTTGGGTATGTTTAGGAGGGTAAAAAGGGAGGGAGGAAGGGAGGGAGAGAGGGAGAGGGGGAGAGGGAAGAAAGAGAGAGAGAGAGAGAATCAGCCAGCTTTTCCTGGCACACCCAGGAGGGCTGTGGGAACACAAACTTGTTATCAAACCCAAGGGGTGATGATTACAGGAAGAGCCCTTTGTGGAGCTCGAAGGACTCCATGCCTGGCGCAGGGCCAGGTCCTCACATCCATTATGTCGTGGAGCCAGCAGCCAGTGGGTCACCCTCCCCCAGGAGGGACAGGAGCAAGTGAGCCCCACCTGTGGGGCATGGGCAGTGACTCCCCCACTTCCTGGGGCTTCTGTCTTATGGGTGCTGTCTTGGAGTGTGAGGCCCTTCCCCCTCCTCCTGCCAGCTTGCAGGGGCACCCCGCACCTTCTGCTGGCCTGAGGCATCTGGGGGGCAGGTCCTCGGTTGTGACAGCTCCTCCCCCAGTGGCCTTCTGTGGTTTTCAACCGGCTGGGACCTGCAGAAGCTTTGTGGGGAGGAGCCTGTTTGTGTAAAGACTCACCCCAGGCGGGGTTGAGCTGCCCCAATTCTGGAGGTGAGGGCAGGCCCTGGGTCTGGCCTGCAGTGGTCACCATGGTTGGGTTGGGGAAGGGTGGGCATGAGGTCCCAGCTAAACCAGGAAGAGGCCAGCTGTCTAGGTGCCGGGCGTGTGAGGTTAACAGGGGCTCTGCTTGGTCCTGTCCCCAGAGCTGGCCCCAAACGAAAGCCCACGCAGGGGAGAGGCAGAGGGCAGACGGAGACACTGTGTCCAGACTCATGCACTGTTTAGGGTGTGAGCCCCAAGGGCCCTCTCAGTGCCTGCTGTGTCTGGAGATGTTTGAAGATGGATTTCTGTCCTTCATGCTTAAACTTGTCCTGACTTTTGGGCCCCAAACCCACAGCAAGGAGCAGAAAGGGGCTCACTACTGTCCTTTCCACTGCTAGATTCCCCCCACAGCCTAGACATGCTGCTCC